TGTCCTTGGCTGCATCCCTTGGCAAATTTGTACTAGGTGTCTCTTATTGCCTCATCACATCCTCTATACGCACTGCTGTCTTGTGGCCATACCCTCCCGAGGATGCTTGGAACAGGCATCCTGCTTGGAACAGGCAGCACTGGGTCCCCCGGCTTTGTGAGTGTCCCACAGAATCAGCTTGGTTGGAAAAGACCTTTAGGATCATCCAGTCCAACCATTCCCAGCAGTGCCAAGGCCACCACTAACCCCTGGCACTGAGAGCCTCATGTACATGGTGTGTGAACACTTGCAGGGACGGTGACTCCAGCCCTGCCCTGGGCAGCCTGTTCCAATGCCTGAGCACCCTCTGGGCAAGGAATTGTTCCTCAGCTCCAGCTAAACCTGCCCTGGGGCAGCTTGAGGCCATTTCATCTTGTCCTGTCCCTCGAGAGAAGAAACCAGCCACCTCATCTCTCCACATCTTATAGGAAATGGTCTATAAACAAGAGGCAAATGGGATGAGGGAGGGTTTGGGTGAGCCTCCCAACATGAGGAGGATGTTTTGCTCTTCCAAGACAGCATAAAACCATGACAGCTGCTGTTCTCTGCACAGCTCCACCACTGAGGCGGCCACAGTGAAGCTGAGACACTCCCTGATGAAAAACACATCAGTTCAGAAAATTCTTCTACTTCCAACAGCAACTCATCCACGGGGAGAAGGATGGCAAATGGAACGTTTCCTTTGCCCTCCATGTGTCCCCATAAGCTCAGCATCACCAGACCAGCTCTGCTCTTCAGAGACCTTCAAGGCCTCCCAGCTAGAAGCGAAAACAAAAATGTAAATATATGTTACTAAATGAGTTTGGAACCGTGTCCAGGTCTGTTTAACCTTGCCCTCAGGAGGCTGCTGCAGCACAGCGCTCCCTGCATCAGCACTTTGCAATCACCTTGATATAAAAATATATGGCTCTTCCAACACCCATTTTACACCCAGCCCTGCCCTAACAAACTTGTGCTTTTGATACCATTCTCCTCTCAAGTTTCATACAAAAAACGTTCCCATTTCAATCCTTTTACCTCTGTGTAAGTCCCAGAGATGCTCAAGGCAGCTGGAGTGATGTTGAATCATCAGGCAGCATCTTGTTCAGTCTCCTGAAGTAACCAGTGGTATCCAATCCAATTACACACCAGGCAGAAAGGCCATTACTTGCATCACCTCCCAGCACATAGTGAAAGCTCAGTGACAGGTAAAATTGCCTTTCTGCTCACACAGGCCCTGGAGCAGCAAAGCACACGAGCACCCACCTAAATGTAGGTGCTTGTTGATCAAACTGAAATCAAGCCTCTTTTGCCGCATGGGCAAGGGCTTTGTTAATCAGGGAGCTTGTGTAAGCCATGTGGATGTTTAATATTCAAATACAGTTATCATCTCGGGTGGGGGGAGCACTGGGTGAGTCGCATCCTGATTTAGCAAGCTCTGGGAAAAGCAATGACAGCTCAGGCAGCGGTAAGTGACAAAAACTCTGTCCTACAAATGTCTTCCAGACTTTGCAGGGATTTTACCATCAGCAGCATGCAGAGAATATGGAATTCTGTCTGAAGGGGAACCCTTTTCACTTCCAGCTCCTTGATGCTGCTGCAAGGGGAAGGGCTCTTTGCTTATATCAAGTGTTTAGGATTCTAGGCTTGCTTCCGACAGCTGAGATAGCTCCAGGTCAGAAAGGGCCAGGTTCATTCTGGTTTAGTTTTTAAGTCTCAAGAAGAACCAAACGAGAAAGGGATAAAATCTCACATTCACCCTCTCACACTCCTTAGATGAACGACTTTCACATGACAGTGAAGCTAATGACATTGACTTGTCAGTGCAGCAGCAACAGAGAGGAGAGGGGGGGATATGGCAGTACAACGGTGTCCTCCTACTCCCAATGCCATCCATCGCTGGTTATTGCTCAGGATTAACAGCTTGCACCACCGTAGAGCTGCACGCACCAGAGCCACCTCTGATCACTACAGTGCACTACAATGACAAGCCACCAAAAAGCAGACTGATGTTCAGGAACAGTTCATGCCTGTGCCCCTCTGCCTCCTGCCAGGAGGAGAGTTCATTTCTCCCCCTTTTCACCCCTCCCTCTGTTAAGAGAAAACCAGGGGTTTGTTCTGGGCAGTGGATGCCACCAGATTCCCAAACAAGCCTTGACCTTCCCATACAGACATGTCACGTCTGCGCTACGGGGGACAACTGATGGGAGGCAAACATCGGTAACAAACACCCTGGGCAAGCAAGATGCAACACTGGGCAGGGCACCAAGGCATGAGAGGATTTCACAGACAACCAGGATCTTGCACAGTCATTTTGCAACCCGAGAGAGAGTCACCACTACCTGTCTCCTTGCAAGAGAATGTTATTTTCCCTGCAAGTTGTAAGGTTTAATAGAAGAACTCTCCATACCAAAACAGGAGTCTGTTCTGAGAAGAGGTAATGAAAGCCCCGAGAGTGCAAGCTCCTTCCCTGACACACAGCCTGCTGCTGTGCAGGATTACTTGGCACCGCTGCTCTTCTCCTTGTCCTTACAAGCAGCTGACTTCAGAAGATACACGTTTTTCTTGATTCAAGTTTTCTGGTAAAAGAATACATTCACTTCCAAAAGCAAAGTCATTTCAAAAACAGGAGCTAAAATTAGTCTGATTATTTTTTTTTGTTCCTTCTCTCCCCTTTATGGCTTTTACAAGCAATTACCCACTTAATGTTTTGAAATTATACAAGAAACTTCAAAAGCAATTTTTTTCTCCTGCTGCAGCTCCTTGAATGTGAAGCTTTAAAAGCTTTTCCGGAACACACGACAGCGTGAGCAAATCAATTTGCCATTTTCATTCTTTTTTCCCTTACAAAAACGAATGGGAAGCAGCGGGATACTTGTTCATCATTAAAGACATTCTTTCTGTTTTAATTTCATCATGGTGCAACGAGTCTGTATGACAGCTCTGCAAAGTGAAGGCAGGATGCTTGTTTGCACCACAGCCCTTTGCGTTGCTGTGGGAGCTGCTGTTAAAATAGCTGCACGGGCTATCACGCCAACGTATCTCCCGAACCTCTTCTTTCTTATGGCAGGGTGGGACATGTGGGGAGAGACAGATTTAACATGTCTGCTCACGCACAGGATGCAGAACACATACTAAGAGCTGGGCCACGCGGGGAGATGGGCTCCTGCAAAGTGGCTGCAGGAAGGGATGAGCCAGGGCCGGCCACGCGGCGGTGCCGCAGCATCCATCCATCCATCCATCCATCCATCCCTGGACCCCCGGTCCAGGGCAGAGGAGAGGCTGGCGGGCTGTGCTGGACTGTGTCTCCTGCTCGTATGAAGCCTGAGGGGTGTAAGGAGAGAGGCATCTGCCAGGGATTCACAGCCATGAGCCCCACGCTGCCTGAGCGGTGTTGATGTGCCTCGGTCTAATGTGGATGAGCATGAGATGCTGTGAAAAACAGAGGGCTGGGTCACCAGCTCTTCTCCCACCACCTCCCCTGGGCTCTTGGTGTGCAAACTGGGGCACTCACCTTAGTGGGAGAGGCAAGTCTAACCTTTCCCCCCTGCTCAAGTTGGCGAAGGAGGGCTTTTGTTTGCTCCTTCCTGATGTTCACGCAGACGCCTGCAAAGACCACGGCACTGGAGTGCCACTGAGCCAGCAGCTCTCACCTCTTAGGAGTGAAATGTGCTTCTTTTGACAACAGCAATGCCCGGCTGAAGCAGCAGCTCTACAGTCTGTAAATGAAAAGCAAAGGTTATGCACAGCCAAGCCATCAGCTCGGCCAGGGAGATTAATAAAACAACTCACATTCTCTGCTCTGCTCCGAGCCTTCTCTTCACGCAGACAAGAGGCAGCATCAGTGCTTTCTAAAGAAACATGTTCCTACCTTCACCCCCACCCCCAGAACCCCTCCAAAATCCCCTGTGGCACACAGTGCCTGTGCTTCCACCCATTCCTGTCCATGACTACCTTTGCTATAATCAGTGGTGAGGCTCTGGAGAATAAAAACATCCCAAATTCCCACATCTCACATTGCACATCCCTACTCTCATTCAGTCAGAATCTTCTCTCAGGCCACAGTCCACTGCCACTTCCTTCTCAAGTGTTGAACTCAAGAGTCTCTTTTTTCCTTACTTTGCCATTCATTACCAACTTACGCCTGCTGTTAGATCAAGGCATCATAAAACACTGTGAACACAGCATCAGGAAGGCACCTTCATTAGGACCCTCACGCTTGAATTCATACGCCATTCTTCCCATCCTCCTTTACACTGTACCTGCAGGATGCCGTTATCTCCTCACCTGGTGTGAGGTCAGTCAGGATGTCTGCCCCAGAGCCAGCTGGATGGAGCAAAGGACACCTCAGTGGAGGTCTTCTGCATCTGTCTGAACTGGAAACACCCTCCAGGTTTCTCACCAGCAAAGGAACTGGTAAAACCCCTTCACAGTCTTTTTCAGCAGGGTCCAAGCAGGAGAGGAACTCACACAAATGAACATCTGCCTCCAGAACATGTGTGGTGGGAGGGAAAGGGCTGGTGGGTTCCTCTAGGTCAAGACCCAGCAGGTTTGGAGTCAGAGATACAGAACTTAGAGGAATACCTGCAAGAACACGAGGAGGGAGAGAATGCATCCTGCAAAGTGCAAACTTCCCCAGTACCAACCTGCTGCAACCAGAAATGCTCTCAACAGAGGGAATACAGGCAGACAGCTACTCCAGCAAACACGGTAAAGGCAGCAGCCTTAAACTGACCACGAGCGCATCAGCGTGCTGTGATTTCAGCCTTCACAAAGGCTCCTCCTCACAGGAAGGCTCATGCACCCATGGCAATGGAGAACTCTGGATGCATCTCATCCTTGTCACCACAAACAACCGAGTAAGTAAATCAAATGCGACGCAGGTAAGACAGGTTCCACCTTTCCCCCTCCTCTTCGTACCAAACACTTCTAGGAACCACAGAGAATAAAAGACAACTTCAGAAGAAAAACAAAGTTCCAAGAATCATCACAACTCAGATTTTTATTCAACAGTGAAGTTGAAAGGAAATACTAGTTTTTTTTCCCCCATCAGGGCAAATGTTCCAAATGGAAATCAAGTAAAAATATCGTCCTCTTGAAGTACTCACAATGGAACTGGTTTTCATTAAATAGATTTGTTTGGCAAAATAAAATAAAAAAATGAGAACCCGTACAAAACCAAAACTCCCTTGCAAATTTCTAACACTGTAGCAATGAGAACAATGTAAACCTGGATGTTTGGCAGTTGGAATTCACCTCTGGAAAGTACTGCTGCACTTTGGACCGAGAAAATTAAACCACTTCAAATAGCAACAAGCCAATTTGAGAGGCAACTGAGGCTTAGGGAATGCCAGAGGGAGGGGACACACTGGTGGCTTCCTAACACAGGTGGTGCGAATAGTCTGCTAGTGTGGGGCTATTCAAGAGCTGGAAGGAAAAGAAGTTAAAAGCTGTTGCAGCATTGCAGCGTATGGTACAGCAAAACCCTGCAGACTTTCCGTTCGGGGAGCCCATCGGTTGGGTGAAGGCTGGTGGCAAGAGTCGAGATGACAGTGGAAAGAGCAATGACAGTGACGAGTGGTGCAAGCATGGGGAGGCAGTTAACGCATTTCATCATCGCATTGGACTCGGTTGTGAGAAGACTCTTGGGGAGAGTGTCTGGGGAAATCTTCTGCTTACAGTAGCTGCTTCTGCTCCCTATCTCCCTCTCCTCCTTCCAGTTAAAGCCTCTGCCCTGCCGAGTGGGTTTCACAGGCATGCAGCTCGGTAACAACGTCCTTTAGGTTAAGAATGTCTGTTCCAGTATTAAAAACGTAAAAAAAGTCCTCGGGAGGGTGCTTCTTAGTGGCAAGTCTTTGCCTTAAGCAAGGCCAGTGGCCTGCAATTATGAGTTAATTAAAGCAATGTGGATTTGGATGAGCAATGGGGAAGATGGGAATGGGGACGGAAGGGATGCAGGGAACAGGGAGGAAAGCAGGGATTTCTACACCCCTCCCCAAAGCCAAAATCCAAGGTGCACAAGTGGGTTTCTTTTTTTTTTCCTCACACTCTTCTTTTTTTATTTTTACTATCTCTCCAGTTATAATATTTCCAGTTTCGAAGCCAGTTTCAGGGGCAGCCTCAGTTACAGTCATAAACAAAGTCGTAGTTGCTGGGCTCCTTTGGGATAGGTGGGGGAGCATCTGGGATCTGTATGTTTTCCAAGTCAAGGAGGCGAAGCTTTATCTCCATGCTGAGCAGCGTGTCTAAGTCGTTCCGTGTTAGATCACTCAACATATCCTTCCCAAGGAGGGCGTTCAGCCCATCGGTCCATACACAGTACTGCACAGCAAAAAGATGAAAACTAGCATTAGTAGACTTTCTGTACACAAACTCTTTGTCTGGCCTGGTCCTCTGCACTTACTGCTCCCACAGGGACTTACAAAGAGACCTAAAGCGAGGTCGATTTATTTTATTAGCTTGTATGATGAAGACGGCATGTTCCACTGAGCTGCTCAGAAAATGGAAAAGCAATTCCCTAAAAATGGGAAGAAGTGACAGTATTTGGTTGTTTGACAGTCTGCTATCTCCTCCAAACTTCTTGTTGAATATTCTTCAATAGTTATGGGAGAAAGAACACACAGCATCGGACAGTGAACCTTGGGAGAGATCTCCTTCTCCCCCTCTCTTTTTCCTTCTCTTTCCCAGTACTTACAGCAGCCACCTAATTATCTTGCACTGATCTTCTAATTCCAAGACAGCCAAGTGAAGTGAACTGAATCTCACACAAAATCCTTGACCCTGTTTAGGAAATCCTGTACCAACTACCCAGGTCTATTGTGGTTTGCTTTCCGACAGGCTAAGTGGCATCAACTGGCCTACACAAAGATGGGCTCTCACATATCTAGACCTTCTTTACCACTTTTTACCACCTTTTTATTTTACACAAAATAACCTATGTGAAAACTACAGAGTCAGTCAACGCTGTGTTCTTCATGAAAATTAAATGCCAAGCTACCTGGTGCAATTCTAAATGCTGCACATGTCGAACTGGCCCCTAAAACCTCTTCCTTACTGTTAGCTTTTTCCCAACAGGAGATGCCACCTTTCCCAGGAGCTGACAGCTTGTGATGAACATGGGCTGAACAACCATTTAAAATCAGCAACAAACCCAGGGGAGGTTGGTGATGTAGAGTCAATGTCTATCAAATAAGTCACTTACTTTCATTTATTACTACGAGCCATTTATTCGACTCTGAACAGAAGTACTGAAACGCTATCATCTAAAAATAAAGATTTCAATCATGAACTTGTGTCCTAGTTTGTGGGAGAAAATTAAATCAGCTGTAAGTGCATTTTTATCTTACAAATACTTCTGCTGGATTGCATGCCAAAAAATGGATTTCAAATTTAGCTGACCATTTGCTACATGACACCGTCGAGTTTAAAGATAGCCACGGCTGACTTCATCCTACAGCAGAAATGAGGATTATTTTTAAGGAAGAGAGAGAAAACCCCCTCTTGGGTGAGTCTTCATCCAGAAAAAGGGTGTATTTTTGCAATGGGATGGTTAGCACACTTCAGCACCCAAAGTGAAAATCTGACCCATTTAAATCAGTAGCAGAGCTAGGATTTCAACACCAGGGTGTTGGTAAGGCAAGCTGCAGTTTTAGTATGAGATAAGCTATACAGAAAAGACTTCAGGGTTCAGGCTGTCCTGCTGACAAGTACTACCGAAACAACCGAGCCTGCCTATTCCAGGCTGACACTGAAGACTTCCCAAGCATGCAGTTTTAGTGGAGCGCACGCAGAACATCAGGAAAACAAAGACACTGGCCTAGAAATGTAATTACTTTTGAACAGACTATATCTTTTCTATGATAGACTTGAAATCTTTCTTTGGGAAAGTCATCCCAGAATTCACTAGGAGGAAAGGAACAGAAAGGCAAAAGGCTTTGCTCAGGTTAAGGAAGAGTAGAGCATCCGTTTAACAGATGCAGCCCCTGATGTGCATCGTCCATCACCTGCTCAGTGAGCTCAGCCAGAGTTTTCTCGGGCGAGGAATCACAGCCAGCCAGAAAGCAGAGCCTCAGTTCTCTCCTCTTCCAGATATAACTCATTCAGGGCCCACAAAACCAAATTCTGGACACAACTTGGATGAGTGTGATGGCCTGGAAAAGGGGCTTCCTCTCTAATCTCCATATTGGCAAGTGCAGCTAATTACACTCCTGTACATTTTGAGCAGAGAGAAACCCTAATGAGATGGAGGAGACATTCATTCAGAAGCTTTTTTCTTTTTACTATGCAAAACAGACTAAGAGTCGCTGAAAAATTAATTTACTACAGATTCATTTTCATAAAACTCCAAAGGAATCTAATTATGGCCTCTCTCATCAGTTTCTCTGTCAAAAATCAAGGGTAAGATTAATCCACCTTTTTGCTATGCAGTTGAAACCAGCTATTAGTATTTAAATGAAAAACAAATACGATGGAGTGATCTCACAGTGCTGAATCCTCTGGCTAGCATTAAGCTCGAACAGATGGCTGAGGCTATTGCCAAACTTAAATGTGCAAGAATAAGGTCCAAATCTCAACGATGCTGGTTCCAGTAATGAGATTTTATCAAAGAAATACCTTGGGAGTCCACTCAGTGGAACCAGACAACCAGGAAGGCTGAGTAGGCTTCATCCACCCCGATGCGACCTGGTCTGAGCTCATTGCTGACCTGGTCCGAGCAGAAGGTCAGACTGGGGACACCCCCAAGGTCCCTTTCAACCTAAATCCTATGATCCTAGTTCAATTCTTGTTTTCAGGACACAGTCAATGCCCACATTCCAACCTCACTCTACAACCACAAGGACTGTAGAAGTGCTTAAAACCCCCCCTGTTAAGTCTGACCTCCAATTGTCATGTCCTACCACCATCCCTGGTGCTTCACACAAACCCTTCCAACTTTTGGGATGTCACCTACCAAATCTCCCAAGTTGGGAATGCTGCTAAACTAGCACTTCTATTGACAGGCACCCCCATTACTCTGATGAAGAGTCCTGGGCTTTGTAACATGCTGCTTGCCTTTCCTTGTGGGTGCTTCCTCTGAACACTTGTACATCTACTTTAATCCCAACTGACTCTTCTGCAGGCCATGGAATGCTACAGAGGAAGTGAGATGCCCTTTTAAAAGCATTCACTTGGAAAGTGACAAGTAGCAGAGGCTGCTGCTCCTGGCTGGGTTGGTTGTGAACGTATTAATTTTGTTTCAAAGAAGCTGTACAAGCCCAAAAGAGAAATAAGAGGTGTGTTAACCCAGCCACGAGCAGTTGGGTTAGTACACCTCACAACACTACCGCCTGGCACGGGGGTGCAGTAGTAGTTTTTGAACATTTAGGCCAGTAAAATACATGTGCAGCCATAGGCTGTATTTGAGATACAAGTGGCTGAAAAATGTGTTCATTTTCAGGACCATTTGCACTTCTGAGCTGAAGCAGTCTAGAAATCAGTTTCTGGAGAACTTGCACCAGAAAGCATCTACCATATGCTCAGTTCAGAGGAGGAAGACAACCATCCTTTGCTTAGACCTGCAGCTCTAATGGCACATTATTCCTGGGATCCTGTGCCACTTCCTCTTACATAAAAACTGACGAGCAAATACTGCTCTGGAATGAACATACTTGAAAATGACACTCAAATATTAATCCCCAGGAAAACCCAAATGAACAAAACCTTATTCCTCTCCTAAAATTAACATTTATTTGAAGGGTTTTAATCCAGATTTGCAAATGCTGAAGCTGCGTAACTAAATACACTTCATGCACTTTCGTAACACTACAGTGTAAGACAGTTTAATGCAATCTTCCCTGGTTTAGCATCTTAACACAGGGTCCTGAACTGAGACCAAACGTGATAGTACAAAAAAAGCATGCAAATGGAACACCAGCTCTTGTTGGTTTAAAAATAAGAAGGAAAACCTCTTTTTATATATATATGTATATATATTTAATAAAGTGCATTCTGCTAAATCTTTACTTGGAAGTTCTTTGAGAGAAACACATTCAGTGCTTCCACATAATTAGGTAAATTAGTTCCACCACCTTCCAAAAAGCAAAGATGTTGCCTATTTCCTCGTGTTTTCAAGTAAGAGAAGGGAGCAGAGAAGGGGCTATCATTCTGCCTTGCTACTGGTATTTACACTGTCTTTATAAGAGTGAGACCTTTTGCAAAACACTCCCCTGTGGAGATAGACAGGACATTCTATGATCACCTGTCATGAATGGTCTCAAGCAATGTTAAAGTAAGAATAAGGGGCTATGCCATTCTGGAGAACACAAGACTTTGGCTGAAATCGAGACCCAGCAATGATGTAACATCCCTTGATTATGCTGGCATCAGCAAGATGAGCTGAGGATGGCAGTTACTCCTTAAGAGCTTGCAAATCATCAGCATTGAACTAAAGTTCACTAGAAGGAACACACAGCAAAATTCTCCAGTGCCTCAAGTAGAGCAGACTAAGATAAATCTTTATTACACCAGGAAATGGTGAGCAAGGTCTGAGGAACCGCAAGGTCTGCCCAAGCTCTCTTCTTTCTCTTACTTATGGCTCATATTTCAGCAGGGCTTAGAAATATTGATCTTTCATTTAGAACTCATGGGCTCTATGATGTACCAATACAAACCATGTTCCTTCCACGGCTCGGGATACTGCATGAACACTGCAGAAGGTCCTGCTCCCATACTAATCCCTCTGCTTTCAGTGTGAAACCCAGATTTAGACTGACCCATCCTGTGTGCCAAGATGACCACTCTTAAGTTCTCTGAAAGCTGTCTGCTGCCATAAAGCAACTAGAGAAGGCTTCCAAAGAAGATTGTGTATTCTGAACTTGACTTACCTCATGCTTGTCTGGAGCAATGAAGTTCAACTGGCCACTCGAGTCATACAATATAGAGAAAGCAAGCTCTAGCACCTCCTGGAACAACACAGAGATGTGCATTAGTGCTGCATGAGAGAGGCATTCATACATTCAGCTCTGCCTCTCTTTCCCATCACTTATTCCCCAAACCGAGTGGAAAAATAGGTTATGCACTCTCCTGCCTGGCCAAAGCTAGACCAGACGACTGCAACAGACTGGCACAGCAAGAACCCCACCCCTGATGCTTTGGTCATAACAAAATCACACCCTATAGCTCACGCAGTCATGGATTTGAGTTAAAATTTGGGCCAGGCAGTGGTGAGGACCACAGTCAATATAATGCATAACAGTACACTTGCAACACACTCTTTATGGAGACCCATTGCCTTTTTCAACCTGTATAGCTCAAACTCACAAAGTTCTGCAAGGTCTGATTCCCTGTGTCAAAAACGCTGCCAGGCCAGTTGACCTCCTGATGTATACTTCTGCTTTATTCGCTGCTGGAAATACATCGAATTATTAATTCTCAAGTGATTTCTGTCATTTTATTTCTACCTGAACTACAATCAGCAGCCTCAGTCAAACTGAACTATCTGGGTTACCCGAAGACCCAAATGAACCTTGGGAAAGGAAAACGATCGTCTTTTTCCCCCTCAGCACTGAAGCTGGAATTTCAAAGGTGCCAAAGGGAATTCGTCAAGTACTGACCTTCCCTAAAAGTCACTTGGGCTCCTATGGGGAAAGCCAGAAGTTTTGGAATGGAAGTCTCCACTGTGGGGACTGCAGCATATACATTGCTCTAGATTTCTACCCCTGTCTGCAACAGACACGAGTCTTTGGATTTCAGTAAGGGCTATTTCATTTCTGAATTGTGCAACAGAGCAGAGCCTGAATCCTCAGGGATAATCCTGGATGAGCAGAGATCAGGCTTCTCATGGGAAATGCTCTTTGTTTCCTCGAGTTATCAGGTCCAACTTGCTGTATTGCCAGGCCACAGGAGGCAAGTCTGTGTTAAATCCCCATGGAAGCTGCGGATGCTGAGAGTGCTGGTACACTCAGCAAGCAAATGGCCCACAGCTCACGTAGCCTTCTTGTGTTCTAGGCATGTCTCTCAGCCACACCTTATTAAAAGTGAGGTCCCTCCTTACAGAAACAAATCCACCTCTGCCCACACAATCCTGGCACTATCTCCTGGCAGGGTGTTAGAAATTCCTGACAGAACATGCCAAGTCATGCAACTGAGGTTGTGAAACTAAAACCTACCACTGAAAAAAGGGCTTGTGGTGCTCTGCTATGATCCTCCTGGATTTCATGAAGGGCAACAACAATCCCATAGGCCCGGCCCTTATATATTTGTCCTTTGGGAAATTCCAAGGATTTGAATTTTTTTGTTCATCTCAAAGAAAGGAAAAGGAGAGAAAAACCCTGCCTGAAAGAGTATCCCAGGAAGCTACGAATTTGGTCATTGCCAGACAGGCAAGGAATGGGAAAGGGCTACATTTAGGGCACCATGCTTCCCTTTATGGGGCAAAGAGGGAGTTTGGCAGCCCTGGATCCGGTTCAATTCTTTGCTGGCTGCTCTGGAGAGTAAAGGCTCAGGAATTAACAGCTTCCAGGTGCCAGCATCTCTGTCAGCTCATGAACAGCAAACTGACAAGGAAAATGGAAGCTGAAGGAGCTGGAATTGCCAACAGGCCCTCCACACTGACGGTGGTCTTGGAGGTTGACTTGTCAGGCACCTGCTTTTGTTCTGCTCCCATCAATGACAGGGAATTCTGAGGAACTGGCAATTCCTAAAGGGAAACTGGTCAGTCTCTATCAGCCATCTGTGGCTCTCTCCTCCCTCTCCCGTCCTACCTCTCAACCTCTCAATTTTCCACTCCACCCTTTTCCACCAGTTTCTTTTCCTCTCTGGTCCTTTTTCCCTCCCATTCCTTCCAACCTGCTCCTTCCCTCTTTGTTTTGCTTTCCTCCTCCCCAACCTCAACCTACACCCCTCACTGCTCCAGGCTCTTTCCACCCTCACACACGTCAGACCTCTGCCCTTCCCCTAGATGCTTGTCAAAGGTAGTGGCACTGGGACCCACGAGCTGCCCCTCTTTTGGGATCCACTGAAAACAGGGAACAAGAAACTCTGCACATGGTGGCTGGGCAATTCCCACTCCTTAGTTTCAACACTCAGGGAAAGCAGAGGGAAGTGCTATGATGAGAAGCTTGCCTTCCATGCCCGGAGCTTCTCTCTCCCCCAGCCTCCAACGGTGCCTCACATGGGCCAGGGACAAGCTATTTTTGATTAACAAACATTTTTGGTGCCTATGGTTGAGTGATCCCGTGGAGCGGGAATGATGTCTCTGCTCTCTGCCTGCTCTGTCATTAGCAGCCTCAAAACACCCGTGTCTTTACTGCAGGCTGAGACCAGAGCCATGTTAAGTTTGCTTGCCAGAGCCAGAAGATCTCCCCCAGAGAATCCTAGAATGATTTGGGTTGGAAGGGACCTCAAAGCTCCTCCAGCTCCAACCCCTGCCATGGGCAGGGACACCTTCCACTAGAGCAGGTTGCTCCAAGCCCCTGTGTCCAACCTGGCCTTGAGCACGGCCAGGGATGGGGCAGCCACAGCTTCTCTGGGCACCCTGTGCCAGTGCCTCAGCACTCTCAAAATGAAGAATTTCTTCCCTATATCTAATTAGAACTATCCATGCAAGGACAAGGCAAGGAACTTTTTCAACCAATGTGAAATAAAAGAGAAGAGAAGCTGCATTCAACATGGAAGTGAGCAGAACCATTTCTGCTGACTAAAAAGGCACCAAGCCTGAAGCCTGCCACATCAGTGAATGAAAGGTAATAGGAGAACACTTAGAAATACATGGCAGTGTTTTTTTCCAAATCCTTCTCTCATGCTTTGTTTTGAGGGCTGCAAAATCTAATGTATTTCATGTCCTTGAAAACCATTAATATTACTCGAGAGCCAGAAATAAGGACTTTAAAATTAAATCTGATTTAAAAATGCAAGCAAGATGAACAACAATGGATTCAGGTCTGGTCCTATCAAGTCGTTCAGCTTCATATGCATGCAAATTCCAATTCAGCTTAACTCTTATTTATTTCTAAGTGGTCCCACAGGAAGAATAATGGCCACGTGCTGGCAAATGAGGAGACGCCGATGCCTTTGTTATGGACATTCTGCCAATTCCAGCTGTGTTCAGAGCCGTGGCATTCTGCCATGCAATTTTCTTTTCTGCCAATGAATAAACATTAAGGTGGTCGTTATACGTGTACTAAGAAAGCATAGGATGAAAAGGCTACTTAAAAAATACACCACCGATAATGAAATTTCAGGAAGTGAAAGGTTTCATATAGCAAACTCATTGCATTCTGTGCCTGCCTTCTTTTCTTTCCTTTAGTTTCCATTTCCTTGTCCACATTAAGTGGGTACTCTGCAAACAACGATCTGTTATTCCTGTGATGTCAGTTAAGCAGTTGCAATAATGAGCATGATGGTTTGATTGGGATGACAACTAATTTCATGGAGTCTGTGATTCCCAGGGGAAGAAACAAGGAATCAAGGAAGACAAAAATAAAAACTACACCAGAAATGGTAAAACCACCACAATCCTTATTGCTTGGCTCACAAATGGAGTGCTCCAGCCATGCTACCTATCAACGCCTGATCTCCACATTTGCAGCCACAAGTTTTATGCCAGTCCCCACCAATGCTACCTGAGGAACAGGGGAAATGGTGACAGCTGAGGACAAACTGATCCACAGCACTGCTTTTTAGCATTAAATACTATCTAGACATTACTGCTCCATAAAGATGACACATTTCCATCACTGCCACCCACTGCTTTCCATCTTCCTATCTTTCCTTTTCGTGTGGACATATGAGTGCTGAGACAAGGGAAGCGCTAAAAATAACTTACATGCATCATATAAATGCCCCAGCCAAATGCTGCTGCTGGTGCATGTGGTAGGAGTTGTGTGCCATCTATTGTGTGTGTGTTAGTGCCCTGATTCAGAAAATCAGCGAGGAACAATACTCTTGGGATTGTTTTTACTTGCTTGGCTCGACTTTTTCACTTCCAGCCGTGTAAAGCCAATGCTGAAAGAAGATGGTATCCTGAGACACTTAAAGCAACAAATGCAAAGAATACTCAAGATGCTCTGCATATCTATGTGTAGTTAAAGAAAGAAAAGTTGTGGGTTGGACTTGATGATCTTAAAAGTCTTTTCCAACCTAGTTGATTCTCTGATTCTATGGAGTTTTGGCAGTGCCTTTCCATTTTCTGTGGTTCCCACCAGAACTGCTTTTTTCCAGTATTCAGTTGAACACTAAAGACATGCATTTTAATTTTAGAGCGTTGAAGCAGGAACTCTTAACTTCACCATTTTGTTCATCAAAATCTCTTTCTTGCTGGACCCAAAATGTCTCGGTTTCAGGTACCTAGAAATTCTTATTCCAATCCTCTGATCTGGTTCCCACACCTCAGGGTGTGCTTCTGGGTCAGACTGAACATCATCAGAGTCTTACTCCTTCTCGTAAGGCCAAACAGCATGACCTGATGATAGAAAACAGTCCTCGATCTGAAACTGAAAGGTTGCATAAATCCAACTGAAGCTGACCATTGTCTCCTGCAGGTTCTTTCCCAAATGCACTGCTGAAGACATCCTTACACACCTCATTAATTGCCCAGCATTTACCTTACATCCTTTTGTTGGCAGTTATTTTTCTACCTGACTGGACCTGAAGATACCATCAGCTGGACATTGATAGCAATTCTGGCATGTGCCAGTGTTCACTGAATGTCAGATCACCAGGGAATACAGATGGAATAAAGTAGTTATTTATCAGAGACAATACGGGAGTAGGTACCTACAGGCACTGCTAGTGTTACTCTAGCAGCAGTCAAAACTGCTTTGCTTTAGGGGTAGAAGACATCAGTACTAGAGACTATCCTAATGTGCTGTGGGTATATCACAGTGCACATCTGCCATGAAACCTGAGTGAAGGAAGGTAGGCTGTCCCAGCAATTTATCTCAAATGGTCTGAGGTGAAAACTAAGTGTGTGCATACACAGAAAGGTGGCAGGCTGGAGTGAAAAATACCCTGTATTACTTCAGGGAAGGTCAAGTCGACAAGCTTTCTATTCTTCAGGGCGCATGTTCATAGCAATTTGAGAACCATACCTTGTTTTGTTTAAGAGCTCCTTTCTCCTTCATGTGAGGGCAGTCCTTCCCAGTCACAACAGCTTTTATATCTGCCACTGGCACTGCATTAAAAAAGAACAAAAGCAAAAACCAGACGATCAGTTATAACCAGGGTGTATAAAAGCTACAGGGTCTAAAAAGTGCAAGACTAATGGGTTAAAATTGCCACCCCCTTTGCTATTTCCAGCCTGTTGTAAAAGAGGAAATAACTAAAATAGGAATCAGTGAGAAAATTTCAGGCATCGCATCTAGGTAAAAATCGGAGTATGCTTATTTTTTGCCTCTTGAGACTACTTTGGGTAAGAATGTTTCATACAGCTGTGTACCTGTGTCTGGACAGGTCTTCTGTGTAGTCAGGTATCTAGAAAACATACACTCTTTTCTGCCTCACTAATGTAATATGCCTGCCCTGTTGTTGCTCTTTCCTAGCACCCAGGTAAAGTCATTGCTGGAGAGAGTGTGCTGGGCAAGTTGGACCCTGCCTCACGTGATGTTGTTTGGTCCTTCTGTTAATGCCTGCCACAGACTGAGGCCACTGAAACATAAACGTCTCTGAGTTCCAAGTGGAAGTCAATTTTCCAATGGTAATTACATTATGGAGAATCTATACGCTCCACAATACAATATGGTCAGTGAGTGACAGTTTCCACAATCTATAAATAATCCATTATCCTTGTGGCTGTGGGAAAACAGTCTATATAGAAAGAATAGCATAATAATATGAAAATCTGTTACTGCCCAGTTCTTTACAAACTCTAATAGAAATACTGAAGAGGAGAAATGCATTTTCTCTCCTACTGGGTACACCAATACTATGTATTTAATTACAGATTACTTCAGCATTACAGTCAAATGGAGAGCATGGGATATAATAGACCTTTTTAAAGGACTTTCTTTGTATGGAAAACTAAAAGAAATGGAAATTATTATGTCTCTGACACTACCCTACTTTTAGGTCAAGAAGAGATATTGGTTTTGTGAGGAGAGAGCAAGCTAGGACAAACTGGGAAGTAAAGGAGAGATTTGACTGCAACTATGGTAGAAGAAAGAGCTCCTGCCATTTGCTGCAGATGCCCAGAAAAACTATTTCTCTGCATAGGAAGGGTTTTCTCAAGTTAGATCTCTCAACCAAGAAGGCTGTTCCCAGGTTTCATAGGCTTGATCTCTGCGATCTGGAATGCAGCTACTAGGGGAGGTCAGAGACTGAGGTAACCCTGATCTTAATCATAATCTTGGCTTATTCCTTGCTTTGGAAAAATAGAATCAAAGACTTCAGATGGTATCAGAAGCTGACTACAAGATGCTGGAGGGTGTGAGCACAAATGTGATGTGCTCACAATAGATAAAGCCCTGAGAAAGAGGGCGACTGTTTTCTGTCCCAGCTGGAGCCCGCACAGCTTGTTAACTCTGACAGCCTGAAGAGAGGGGTGACATTCACAGAAGTGAAAAGGTTAAATACCCCCACGTTTATTTCTGAAGATAGACACTAGTTATTCAAGCTTGGTAAGAAGCACACAGAATGCCCTGTGCTGCTCCTCCTGGTCCTCAATTTTCTTACCCACCTATTCTCTTTCATCTCTTGACCTGCTCCCAGATGCTGACAATGTGGTCATCTTATTCAGTCCTTCATAGTTCAGAATTCAGTATAAATCTATCCACAGAATACCAGCACATCTCTGGAAAATGCTCTGTAAAATTCCCAAGCCAGTTTGGCCTGACACATTTCAAACAATAGCGCCACTTTATCATCTTGTATCTTGCAATATTCTCAATTCTGTTTAATTAAACTCTAATGTGGGTGGCACTGTGGTAAATCTAGTACCCTTCACAGCCTGAAAACCTGAGACGCTGATGAAATAACCACATCCTTCTCAAAAACTGCATCAGTATCTGCTCCGCCTGCTGCATGCACAGGGAACATATGGGTCTGGCTCAGTGGTTTCTAAAGGAGGAATCCCTCTGTCCCCATGGGATCCTGACATTCCTGAGAAGGCTCAAGAGCCTATGAAAAATGTAAATGCAAGATGAAGCTTGAAGTCAGGGTCAGGGTTTGGGCATGCTCAATGCAATGAAACCTGGGAACTGCTGGTCTCAGAACTGTGCCTGCAGTTCAAGCGTGACCTTCATTCTTCTGTCATTCTGATGCTCCTGTAACATTCAAGGGCTATTTCTCTAAGCCTCCTCCAGAAAAACAGCCTCTTCCAGTGCCAATGCAGCAATGTGAGCCCCTGCCCTACATTCTGCCAAGACTGCAGTAAGAGCGCGAAACATCCTTCAGGCAATCTGTAAGGCAATGGAAACAAGGGAACGTGACTGCCAGCTGCCAGGGCTCCAGCATCGGACAGGCTCTTCTTCCTCTTCCCACTTAGAAATGTTAAAAGATGCTGCCTGGACACAGGCTGGGGGAGCAGAAACATTTTATTAACCTACAGGGAAGTTTAAATCACTGATTTTCTCCTTTCTTAGTTTTCAGGCTGGAATTTTTCTGACTTCTGAAAAATCAGTGTTTCTGCCATTCCGAGACAGAAGTGGATCTACCAACTGAAATACTTGTTCAAGCATATCTGATTTGATAATGCCAAGAATAGCATTTATTACTTACGGAGGTTCAGTAAAGAACAAAAAGCAATGATTCCTTAGTCAATGCTTGATTTCTTGAAGTCACTTTCTGGTGACAGAACTACAGTAATCACTATTTCCATCACCATAAAAAAAACTTTCCCAGGACCGCAGGTTAAATCTCTGTAACTTCTGTTGATGGATGAAGAGAAATCATCATGACAGTGTGAGTCCTCTGAAGGGCTCCAAAATTACTTTTATCCATTAAAATATCCTGATAAATCCCTCGGCAGGACCCCAGGCACAGCTACAGGCTGGGCAGAGAAGAGATTCAAAGCAGCCCTGCGGAGAAGGGCTTGGGGGTGGTGATTGATGAGAAACTCGACATGAGCCGGCTTCAGTGTGCGCTTGAGCCCAGAAACCAACCGTATCCTGGGCTGTATCAAAAGAAGCGTGACCAGCAGGACAAAGGAGGTGATCCTGGCCCTCTACTCAGCTCTTGTGAGACCTCACTTGGAGCACTGTGTCCAGTTCTGGTGTCCTCAACATAAAAAGGACATGGAGCTGTTCGACCAAGTCCAGAGGAGGCCACGAGGATGATAAGAGGACTGGAGCACCTCCCGTATGAAGACAGGCTGAGAAAGTTGGGGCTGTTCAGCCTGGAGAAGAGAAGCTGCGTGGAGACCTCAGAGCAGCCTTCCAGTATCTGAAGGGGGCCTACAAGGATGCTGGGGAGGGACTCTTCATTAGGGACTCTAGTGGTAGGACAAGGGGTAATGGGTTTAAACTTAAACAGGGGAATTTTAGGTTAGATATAAGGAAGAAATTCTTCACAGTGAGGGTGGTGAGGCACTGGAATAGGTTGCCCAAAGAAGTTGTGAGTGAGTTGTCACAGAGGCATGTCCGCACCCAGCTGGGTACACAGTGATGGTGAGCTCCTCTCAATACTGTTCACAGCAATGTGCCATCTTTAAGTCCACTCCCCACGATATCAAAAAAGATCTCTGCCTGCCAAGGATTTCTCCTCCAGTCACTAGGACTCTGCCACAGAAGAAACATCTGTCTCTGCAGACAGAAGTGCTTCTGAATATGCCCACGTATTTGAATTTGACACCTGCAGTTAGATGAGCAAGGAAAATAAACTGTGTTCCTCCCTATGAAAGGCATGACATTTCCAGGCTGAATGAAATTATGAACTCATTGGAAAGCTGAGCTCAGCCCTCATACATCCCTGCCAAAACCAGGAGAGAAGTGTTTGAATGCAGGAGGAAATGTCCCCTGCTCCCTGTCTCTGCAAACAGAGCTCTTGGTAATGTCCCCTGTGAAGAGAAATCTACCAGTCATAAAGAGGAACTAGCACGAAAGAGGCACAAGTAGCACAATCGTTGCACATGACTTACATTTGTCTTGCAAGGAATCGTGGGGGACTTCTCCCTGGGGACTTTCTTCCAAGTCTCCATAGTGCAACACCTTGTGATTAGGTGAAAGTCGACAGTACCAGAACTTGTCTGTTAAAATAAATGCATTAAAGAAGGTCACTGACATGTCTTCATCAGCATTAGCAATAGCACAGGAGAAAGCTCACACGAATGAGGCACTACAGGGAAGGACCATCTTCTTTCTTTCAGAAAAAGGAATATGTGGGGTGCATGGAAGTAGGACAGGGACTTTGCTCGGTCATTTTACTTGATTAAATGAAGCTGCCATTAATCTACTGTATTTTTTAGCGACTTAGTCACTAGCTCCAAAAATAAATACTAGCAGGAAACAATTGACTTAGTTTTATACGACATTATACAGCCTCGTGGACAGAAGATTGGCAAAGTAACCACTGCTTTGAGTGGGTAACTTTGATGTACCCAACCCCCCTTCATTTTCAGTACCCGCTATGTGAGAATTAAGCCTTGCCAGCTGTCTTGTGTGGGACACTGAAAACCTGATACATCTGAGATATCCCATATTTTATGAAAATTATGACTCATGTCTTTTAATAGACACGGGGGAACACCCCCGTATTTATGGAGGGACTGGACATACTAACACGCAAGGATTCAAAAAGCAGACCTTAACTGCCTTGTCTTGCGGATAACTTGGTGCTTTGCATGGGCACAAATATACGTCTGACCATGCGGTCACGGCAAGAAGGAGGTTACCCTCGCTTGTCAGAACACTTCCTATTTAATAAATAGATCCCATAACGTTAAGCTGTCAACAAGACAATCTTGTTACATCCGAGCTATAACTCTCCAAAAGCTCACAGCAAGGCTAGATGTCCAAATGCCAGGAGGGGGCAGAGGGCTTCTCTGGCTCTGCGCTTCTTTTGTTGTGCTCAGCGCTGATGCTGCCATGTAGACGAGACCCTCAGTGCCACGGGGTAGTGGTGGCCTTGGCAGTGCTGGGGAAAGGTTGGACTCGATCTTAAAGGTCTTTTCCAACGGAGCTGACTCTATGATTCTATGACTGACACAGCCCCGTGGTGCTGCAATTGCTGGGAGTGAATGGAACAACGGTTTGGATAAAACCTTGGAGAAGCAGAACCACCAAAGCCAGCACATGTGAGAGTGATTGTGGTGTTAGCAAAGGAAGGACTTCTTGGCTCTGTTAGTAAAACACTGCCTTAATGGACCCAACTTCTTTCCAAAGGACACTCTCCAGTCCCTTGGCCAGCCATCTAAAATGCAATGCAATAAAACATAAAAGGCAATTCAGCTTTGAATGGTGAAAGTGGGCTTCCATATGCCTTTTTCAATGTCTTTGTCATGGAGGGTAAAAACATTTGGCAGAAAAAAACCCACACTTAAAACCACTTTCTGAGCGTTCAGCCCCTCCTACAGAAAGGTTTCAAGACCTTACAAACTGCTAGCAAAGGCTCAAAATGGCAACAGGAGAGATTCTGGTTATTTACTTCACAGGCATGCAGGATACTGAAAGATTTATGATAGGGTGCCTGAGATTATGAGTCTGTGATGCATACAACAAAAGCTGCTGCAATATAAGCTTGTCTGGACTGTCAGCAGTACATACAGTGTTGGACAGAATGGGTTTCCAAGAGGAAAACACGACCTGCAGAGCTTCTGTGGGGATTTGAAACTAGAGCAAGCAGGAGCCCTCACTCAGTAGACTCCCATCTGAAGAGCACACACGCCATCAACTCATTGGACAGTCTGTGTGCCTCAGAAGGATGTGTCTGAAACTTCTAGATTGAAAAACTTCGGCTCTTTAACCTTAGGCCTGTTTCAACACCCTCTTCCCACAATGAAAGATGGGAAAACCCCTCAGTGAAAATATCTTACTTCATTTTTCAGAAGGGGTGGTTTTATGAGGAGAAACCCAATCTCGGAAGGCTTGTGGAGCCTTTTACAGCAATTCCCCGTAACCCAAGGTTAATTAAAAACTAAAAGCCATAGACTGTAGCTTCAAGCATGTCCAGCCCAGTTCTCCTGTGGGATCACTACTGACTGCCATTGTGCCAGGGCTTTGTTGTCAAGGGGAAAAACCTTAAATGAAATCTACAAACGGAACTAACGAGGCTCCCTCAGCATTAGTGAAGGGCAGTAACCCTTCCTGCCACAGCCACCTCAGCCTCACCGGCTGCGGTGGCTTCTTTCAGCTGTACATGATGTTACAAAGAGTTGATCAGACGATATCCCCCTTACGTGACACCCCAGTGCCTTGGAGGGGGACAGTTTAAGACAGGATGCGTGTTGTTGTACTGTAGTGCAAGCGCCGAATGTGATTGTATTGGGAAAGCAGTTGTATAACATAATGCTGCAGTCAAAAGAAAAATCACATGAAACTGCTTCCACTGGCAAAAAGGGTGAAGAAACCTTCATCGCAGAGCAGCACATGGGAAGTGGCCCACACTGACTTGCAGCTCTAAACTGATCAACCAAAAATTAGCAGATGGAAAAGCTCTTTTCTACTACGGTTAGAAAGTGGTGTTCATAAAACAAAGCAAAACTACTGTCCAAACCCTCCAGAGCTCTTAAACCCAAGTATGCAGGGTTGAAGTGCCACAAGAGGCATTGGGACAGGCGTTTCCCAATAGACTTTGTGCTCCACAGCTGGCAGATCTGTGTTTATGTGCACAGCTGGAGCAGGGCAACTGTCTGTTCAGGAAGGAGTAAAGCTCCTTTTAAGCCCAGTCTTACAAATTTGCCCCAAAGCCCAAGCTCCTCCTATGAGCTAAAGGTCTTATTTTAACCTGTGTTATTTTTGAACACTACGTCTTTTACTGGTGAGTCCTCATGTCTTTTACCTCACTGACCACTGACACAGTCAAATTAAAGGGCTACAGATTCTTCTTTGGGAAACAAAATTAATCGTTCTGGTTTTCCAACTGAAAATGTTTCAAAGAAAATGTTCTGATTTTCAGATAATTGCTGGAGCACCCAGTGGGAGAAATACATCACAGGACACTGGTAAAGATCATAGATGAGGGTGGGGAAAAAAATATCCCAAATAACAAAATTAGCCACGATTTGGCTAGAAGAGTAATATTCAAAACTGTGCCTCAAGAGTAGAGGACAGATCATTTTGCTGATGGGCTGCAAAGTGCTTGGCCATTCACACAGTGTCTTTCCAAGTGCATTAATGGCCAATGACTCATATGTCCTTAACAACGCTGTCCCAGGTAAGGAAGTGCTGTGGTTAGGACAAAAGTGCTCTGTCCTTAGAATCTGGGGGAGAAAATAGCTGAGAGATGCACAGCCCAAAGGCTGAGAGTGTACATTTTATCCCAAGATAGCTGAAGTTTTTGTTCAAAGAAAACCTTCCTCATGGATAGAGCAACAGAAACACACTTTTAAATATACCAGTGAAAACACAGGTATTTGTCTGGATCTTAGATAGATGTTCGTGGACTCAACCTTTTCTTTCATTGTGTTGCCTTTCTCTAATACCACTGTATTGCCATATGTTCACTCTAACTGGTCTTAACTGCTCAGATGAAAGCCAGCAAGCCCTGGGAATGACTGGTGAATAACTGACCTGCAGAGGCATATTTGGTTAGCCCTTTCCTCTCAGCAAGTCACTTATGGAATATTATATGAGACTATGGAAGGTGGGATGCAGTAACAGTAGCAAAGAGGCTTGGCAGAAAGAAAAGACAACGTGTGTTTACTTGTTCAGAACTGTGAGTTACTCATCCTAGCAAGAGATGGAAAACCTGTCTTCACTTGATTTTTGGTTTTAATTTAAGCTATCTCTTTCCAGCTTACTTGTGCCTGGTGGTTTTGATTTAATGGTGTGTATCACCAGGCTTTCCTTCCCTTGCAAAAATTACTGCGCAAGAAACCTCATTTTTGGCTGCAAAACCACTTCAATAACATGCAATTTCTCAATAATCTGTATGAAGCTAAAAAGGGGTATTTACTTCCGAGAGTGCACCCAGCAGCACAGCTACAAATGTAGTAGGATGACAGCACCAGAAGTACATATTATCCTCAATAAAATGCCTTTATCTGCTACTTATTTCCACTGGAAATAACTTCTGGGGTTGGAAAGTGCTTTGCAGACTTCAGCCTTCTCCCCTTTCTTTTAGGCAGGAGAAAGCTGAAGAGGTCTATCTGCCAGCTGATGTCCACAGCTAAGGAACAAAGTGGGGATTTGCAGGGTTTCCTGATTTATGCTTGAACAGTGACCAGAAGGGCAGGCTAGGTTTAGCTTTCATTTCCAACAGATTAAGAATACCCAGTGCAACCAGGAGTTAGTGCTGCAGTTCTTCTATGAAACCTTGCAAGGGAAAGGCCAGATATTCTCTTTGAAAGTGCTAAAGATCCTGCTGGGAAAACGATGGTATTTCTGATTTTCAGCTACAGAGAGGTCCTGCTGATACGATAATCCTGTGCTGGAACACAAAAGGCAGAGAGCTGACTACAGGTACCTCACAGTTTAATCTCCAGCTTCCCCATAGTGAGTCACCTGTTGGATCAAAGGCTTTCCCAATGCCCGTGCTATATAACAGTGTCTCACCTCTTCTCAGAAGGCTGTAAGAGGCTGTAAACTCCCTGCTTGTTCTTTTGGAAGTCAATTTTCTCAGCTTGCTGTGACTAACCATGCATGTCCCACCACATGTTCAAACAATAGTCTTAACAGAAGTTTGCTCTGGAGTCTTTATTATGGGATGATGCCTGCTAATTATTTTTCAAATGGGCAATTTAATGCTTTCAGGGTCTCCTGTGCAGCACATGTTCAACTGGTTCTTATTTTGATTTGTGACCTCTGTTACAGGATTGTCTCAAGGGGAAAAAGGAATCACAGGAGAGGTAAAGGAAGCAGTACCTTCCTAACCCTACTACTCGTACAAGTGGGTTGCCACATAACAGACATGGTGATGCCTCATTGCACTCCCCATTTCTATGCAGCTCCTCATCAACCTGGATGGACCACAGCCCCTTGAGGGTCTTAGTAATGCTCCATGGCAAGTGAGCTCAGCTGGAGCAGTGGGCAGGGGACAGGGTTTCTGAACCCTCAGTAAGGTCATGAGGTGGGTTGGGGGAGAGGAGGTGGGGAGGTGGGATGAGGCTAACAAGCCACACTCAGGCATTTGGGACCCTATCACTAGCTAAACCTCTGGCCCTCCATTCACTTCACTTCATCTCTTACCTTTTGACATCATGAAGGGGCCCTTGTGTTACAGTTTGCTCTGCTTGGGTTACAGGAAACCCTGAAAGATGAGGCTCATTCCAAGAGAGCTGCTCCTGCTCTGTGCCAGCTACCACTACTTGCTATTTGCCTGTGCCAGGCACTGCACATACCTAGAAAAGGATCCCAACTGAATGGCTCATACACCAAACATGCTCGTGTTTACAAACAATACTCTGCTGCTTCATTAGATCACACAGTGTTAGATCTTACTGAGTCCTGGTGGCCTCATGAATCATCACCTCCTGTAATGGTTATGCCTTCTCCTTCCCTCCCAGACAGATAATTCACATTTCTGTTTCAGGGAGTCTAACAGAAAGCACACACAACTCTTCAGGGCATGTGGAACCCTGCCTTTCTAAATGGGCCATTATCTCACACAACCCAATATATTTCAGAGAAGATCAAATTCTTTGAGGCATGGCTCTGTGGTTTACTTCTTCCCAAAGAATCATGATTTTTTTTGTCCCTGTATGACATCAAAGCAATTAATTTGGTGGCCTATACCATTCACTCCAGGGCGTGATACACAGCAACCTTTTCCACTGTGGGTTACATTATACCTCAACAGAAGATTATATTGATTATTTTTTTTAATGCTTTCTTTTTACCTTCATCTTCACTCGTAGAAGTTGAACCAACTTATACCCCCGAAGGCTTTTGATCCTACAAATCATGAACTAACAACAGTTTAAGCTAAAACAACCAGTCTATCCTCCTCTTGGAGACCTGCCAAAAGAAGGATGCTTGCCACAAGCCCTGCTCTTTCGCTAGAACTCCAGTTATTTGGATTAAGGCTCTGAAAGGAATAAAACAAACAACCCTCACTACTGATAGCCAAACCAAACCCTGTGTTACTTCAGCTACTTCCACTCAGTGAATACGCTGCCAAAGGGAAAAGACGTATCATGCCTCTCTATGAAGTCTGTATGGAAAGTCACAGTGGAATATGAATGCTGTTTCCCTAAACTGTGTGCAATGGGCTCTATAGGTGTTTGCAGGCTTGACAAAGAGGATATAAAGCTGCACCACGTTTGCCTTCAACTCAATCCTTTCATAAAGGCTTTGAAATCTTCCAAAATAACCCCCCTACCTGCAGGAGAACTGCCTCCTTGTTTCTAAGGAAAGGGGCATCGCAGGGATGCTTCTCTCTGTGAAGAAAGCAGTTTGCCACAAGTGATCTGAAGGTCTCGGCTATTGATCTTTGTCAGTTCTTGCTCTTAGCTTTTGTAACGTTGTAATTTGTATTGTACTTAGAGCGGAAAACAAAAGGCAATCTGAATCCTCACAAATTGAGGGGTTTAAAGGGAAATTTTGGCATAGAAATTCTGATTCATGTGCTGAGGTTACGCTATGTTCCTGTTATTTCGTCCAGAGAAAGAAGCATGCCTCTCTGAGGGGAAAAGAACTGTAGAGAGTTTGGCTGTATTAAATGAGCTGTAAATCCAGCACTGAGCAATGTCTCATATGCTTGGGAAAATAATCTTTCCATGTCAACCAAGTATTCACCTGAAGGTACACAAATTACTCACCTAAGTGCTCTTAAAAAGCATTTTTAAACACCATTATGCATTTAGTGTATATGGTAATATAAGACAAAAACCAAGGACAGGCAGTACTAGAGGGAGAGGTGCGGAATGAGCTCATTGTACATATAAAGGTGGTCCAGGTCTGAGAGGTTCAGCTTCTGGCTACACCAAGTTTCATGTGCTATTTCTGTAGAGGGTTCAGAGTGCGAGACTACTGCTTGAAAGTTGTGTTAACTACTGGACTTGTTCCAGATGATCCGTATGATGAGGCCAAAACAAGATCCAGGGAAACACAGGAACTCCTACAACAGCTCTAACTACGAAATGCTTTCAGATGCCTCCTGGTAAAAGCAGCCCAGACAGCACTACAACCAACGGTATTCCCGATCTCAACTTCTGGACAAAAGTGACAATAAAAGGGCAGACTACAGAGTCTGAACTGTACCTTGCCGACGCCGACTGTTGAGTTTCCTAAAGCAGGTGCCCTCCACAAGCCGATTGAGACGTTGCTGCTTGATCAGTTCCAAGATCTCAGGCTGAATCTTCTCTTTTAGTTCCCTTGGGAAAGGAGAAAGTAGGCCCATGTCAAACTCAATCAAAGACCATCCTCCCTCCCTCCCTCTGAGACAGAGTCTCACAAGATGTTTCTGCAAGGAGTTTGAAGGGGACAACAGTCACAGGCAGGCCCAGGTCAGAATCTAGTCTGTTCTATTAAAAAACCCACCTTCTCTTAGGAGAGAGAATGGGAGTCAGGCTATCTCTGTTCTAGACATCTCACTGCTACGACATCAATGTATGACTCAGGCAAGCCACTTACTTGTTTCTTACTTTACTCATCTAAAAACCAGCATTTGCTATAACGCATCAACAAGGTTTTTCTGCAGCAAATAATGCTCTTTCATCATAGGAGCACTGCGAAGCTTGTTTGAGGGTCTGTCACCTCTTGTTGCACAATCCTCTGCTGGCATACTTTACTAGCACTAGAAGCCTAAAACACACCTTGAAACAACAATAAAAAACACTGAGCAAGGCCAGTGAGCTAAAATAATGACCAGTGCCATATGCTTGTTATTCAATCCATGCCATGCAATTGATAAACTATTATCAGAATTTCGTGGAAAACTAACCCAGGGATTGCTCAAGGATCAACCTTTACCCTTGTCCAGGAGTGCAGAAACCCACAGTGTTTAGCAACAATATTATAGATCCTTTAGAAAAGCCATCCTACTTTGGTAAGAGTTCAGCGTGTCAAGAACTAGGCATAAAACATATGCACATAATATTTAAAGTTTGATTTCATACAGCATCACATGGATTCACAGATGTCTGAATTCATCAGTTATGTCCTCACTTAGATTCATTAAGAATACATAAAAGACAGGTTTAAACACCAAGTTGACAACTAGTAAGATTCAAAAAATAACTGAATGTGTAGAGGATTTATAAAGCATGAAGTGTGTCAGAACCATCATTTTGCATTGCTGTGCAAATTAGGTAATACCAAAAACCCTTCTGTCTGGCAGTACGTGCCAGCATCAAAAGGAAGCAAAGCTCTGGTAACCCAGAGAGACAACAAAACCCTCTCTCTTCCGGACAACTTAGAGAGCCCAGTCTCTGCTGATTCCCACATCCATTTGGATCCTACCCTTCTGATCTGCCAGACCCCAACTGAAACCACTGGAAGTCCTCTGCTGCACAGATAAGGCCTTTAAACAAAAATGCCATCTTTCCCCCATGTATTACCAACATGGTTGGAGTTTCTGGTGCATAACTCACTGCATATTTACAAGCTGTGAAAATCTAGCTGGGCAAAAGTTAAGGAAGCATTGTCGCTATAGAAACCACCACCTTTTGAAATGTAGTATTAGTCCTTTAGGATAATTTTTGAGCCTTGTCATTCTCTCATTGGGAACTAAGACACGAAAATACTGAATGGAGAAGTACTGTGATCAAAAGAATTTTGTGCTTGAATAAATGTCTTGCCTTTACTGAGCTGATGAGCTTCCCCATTCCTCAGGTAAAAGCTGGAAGCAGGAGCTGAGGATACCAGTGTTAAAACACAGCGTGGATTACTCAGCAGTGCAGGCTGTATCTCAATCCCCAGCTGGACTGATTTCAAACACTCAAGACTGGTATAAACATCAGTTTGCTATTTAGGTAGTTCGATTCAGAAATTGGATGGTTATCATTAAATAGGTGTTAAGGATATCATAACATCGTAGTTTTAAGACGCTACTGGGAAGACGAAAATTAATGGGTCTCCCAGCACATTAACACCTGACTGCTCATAGTATTCCCTCTTCTATACTCTGAAGCCCCATATGCTCTTTACAAACCAGAGGAAGAGAAGGCTTTTATAACCAATCCAAAAATAAACAGGTAATTCTCCCTCAAGTGTTTCACAGTCTAAGGCAGACTTGCCACAGGAGGAAGTGAGGTAGGAAAGAAGAGACACCTTCCCCCTCTTTGCTGATGTGCTGGAGTCCCTCTACACATGCATATATTTGTTCTCACAACTGTGAAACTCAGAGGTAGTACTCTCTTCTGTTTTACTGTCCTTAAACTTGGACACATAGAAGTTGTGGAGACAACTCATTACTCCACAGAGAAACAGTCTTCATTGACTTTGGACTTCAGTGACACCACGTTAAGTCCATCCATCTCTTACCATGGTCACTTGCACTAACTGTCTTTACTGTCTTCAGCAGCTCATGCCAATACATAGTTACTCTGACTTCAATGTTTTTCAGCTATTTTTCAGATACCATGACTCCAGATACGTCTTTGCAAGGTGATCCTGCCACTTAATGCTCCTCTCTGTCAAGGTTTCTGTTCTATCACTTCAAGGTGACAGAAATGGGGCAGAATAATCAAACCACGGCACACAGTAAAACAAAAGATGTGCTGCTTTGAATCTTTATGTTTCCTTCAGAAAGCCTTCTGAATGCAAGGGAGTTCTGTTCCTCAGGGTCTAAAGACAGGAGTTATTAAAAATGATGAAAGTCTCGGTACAAGTAGGTCCTCCTGCCTAATTTTAAAACCAAACAGGAACAACGAGCTAAAGGAAGATCAGAAATGCAAATACGTTCCGTGAAGATTTTGTTTACTGTCCTTCAGATGACATTGGCTCAACAGTTTGCACCTTGCAAAGAGAGAGAACAAACTCGGAAGGTTTAAGGAGAGAGTGACTTTACAAATTGCTATCAGTTTGCAACTGTGTTCCTGGCACATTAGAATGGCAAAAGTGAGTGGGTTGGGAGGACAGACGGGTTGAGGAAACCACACAGTTAACATACATGATCACTACTTTTCTGCTCTTACTGGTCTTGGTGCTACAGGTAATACTGACATCAGTTACTTAAAGTAACAGACCTGCATTGTTGGTATATCTGAAAATCATGAGAAATTATATTATCCAAAATGATACTAGTTCTTCTGCAGCACCAGTCATATCTGTCCCCAGCTATTCGTTAAGACTCCTGTTAGCTGTTTTCTTTCCATTATGGGGCATATTACAGCCATTTAAATCATTACAACTCAACAGAAAAGTAAACCCAGAACTGCTTTCATGTGTTTTGTCCTTTTATCTTTCTGGTTTGTAGTTATGCCCTCTCCTAATCACCTCATGCATTCAGAGCAGGCATTAGTGACACTTTCTAATGGTGCAGAGAAATCTGTAAGATAAAAGTGAAAAGCATTCAAGTCCCTCTATGTTGCTGATTTTCACACAGAGGTTTACTTAGCAATGACTCCCTAGTTGATATTAGCTCTCCTTTAACCAGCAAGCCCCCACTTGGATGTCAGACCTTGATCCAGTATTAACCCATCTGTGTTGCCATTTAATGTGTCAGGGAGATGCCTGGTGCTCTGCAGGCCCACAGGATTCCCAGACACCCTGTTCTATTCAAAATGAGCCAGCGATCCTTTATCCTTTTGCTGTGGGATGGCAGTTTGGATGATCAATAATGATCCCACAATCTTGAACTGTTTCTGTTCTGAAGGACTTTCTGTTTTCCCTAATCAAGAACAGAAATGGAGGAAACTTCATCTCACATAATACAACAATGCTCATATGAAAGAAACAACTAATCCCTGCAAAACAAGGTTGTTGTAGATACCAGGATCTAAGGCAGCAGTTTACAGCTTACATTCAAATCCAACTTGACTCAAGCTTCTCTCATCCAGCAGCCTGACAACTTAAAATTCAGTGCTTCATACAATGAACAGCAGAAGAAAGACTTCTATCATGTTCAAGGCAGGAAAAGCCATCATCTGATTGCCATATTCTCATGCAGAATTAAACAAGGCCTGCAGACTTTACATTCACCCTTGTGTGCAATCTCTTTTAGTGTATCTGCAAGGCTTTAAAATATACAGCACAGCCACGATTGCTCTCTTCACTCACAGTTTCTTTC